AGGGCGATTGGCCTGTAGGAGGCACAGTCAGTCGGGTCCCTAGGTGGCTTGTGGATTAAAATCACATGGGCTCCAGTCATAGAAGGCGGCAGGCAGTCTGCCTCAAAATAAGAGGCATACATCTGGCATAATCTGGGGACCAGTAGGCCCACATGCGTTTTGTAGAATTCCATCGGAATCCCATCTGGGCCTGGTGTTTTACCGTTAGGGAACACACGTATGGCTGCGAGCACCTCAACTTCTGTGATAGGCTTGGTCAGGAAGCCTCTTTGGCCATCAGATAACCACCCAAGTGCTACCGAGTCCAGCAGAGGCCGCAGGTCCGGTGGCTGGGCATCTGTCGGCAACGTGGATGAGTAAAGGGTGGAGTAATATTTCCTAAATACCTCCAGGATGTCTGCTGGGGAGGTGGCCACTGTGTCCGGGCCAGATCGCAATTCGGCAACTACCGTCTGAGGCCGGGCCGCTTGGGATAACATTGCCAGCAGACGCCCATTCTTATCCCCATTCTCAAAGAAGTCTTGTTTTCGGTTATATAAGTCAGTCCTGTAGTGAAGTATTATGTATTGATATTTATCTGCGTTGTGAAAATCCAGGCAACCTCAATTCTTTTCCAGAGAGTAGCGTTTAATTGGATCGAAGAAACAGATGAACAGGAACAGTCCAACAGAGTAATACAGAGTAAAATATCTAGACCTCAGATGATAAAGGTTCCATGAGGACCCACTAAAACTACCCAGCATATATCTCCAATCTATATATGCACCTCTGTGCCTCTCTTCATGACTCTGAATTCCCCTCCTTTCTTCTGTTGTAAATTATGATTGAAGTAGATGTATTAGGGGTATATTTAGGGTGTATTCTCATGTATTGCTTTCTTTTAGCTGATGTTATTTAACACACCTATGCTAACTAGGTTTTTATTGTGTTACTCTATTGACCAGTTGACCATCCTGCTTTGTTGATTGTACACAATGGAACAGCTGTAGGGAATGTTGTCAAAACCTGTTTAGTTAACTAACATCAAAGGGGTAATTAGACCAGCCAATCAGAATCATTTCAGTGTTAGTGAATGGCACTAAACTGTATATGAATAGAGAGCCTAAGGTGGCTGAGAGGTGGCTGACAAAATCGCACCATACAACCGATCGGCGGCTATAGAGCCGCTGATCGGTTGTATGTGAAACAGCACAGCTGTTAACGGCTGTAAAAACGAGCGTGTCTTTCCTGCCCGTGTGCGCGCTTTACCACCGCACTCTGCGGTCTTTACCACCATACTCTGCGGTTTTTACCACCGTGCTCTACGTTCTTTAATACCATGCTTTGCCGTCTTTACCACCGTACTCTGTGATCTTTACCACCGTACTCTGCGTTCTTTACCACCGTGCTCTGCGCTCTTTACCACTGTGCTCTGTGTTCTTTACCACTGTGCTCTGCGTTCTTTACCACCGTGCTCTGCGTTCTTTAGTACCATGCTCAAATTCTTCTACCAATTCCCCTGCAATTCACTTTTAAGTGAATAGATCGGCTATTTTGAAAATAGTGAGGATAAATAATTTCTGTAACACAAGAATTTATATGTGGGTGGGCCTTGTGGACAAGTGGGGATTGTGGTTGGATGTGGCCTGTATATGGGCGGAGCAAAAGGGGCCCCATAATCTCGTATTGCCCAGGGGCCCCATGTGTTGTCAGTCCGCCCCTGATTGCAAACTTCATATCTGAACTACTTGCCATCTTTCAGTAGCTTGGATGCAGCTCTTGTTGATTTGCAGTGTTCTGTTTAGTGCCTGGACCCATAACCTGGTGGTTATGTGTTTAGATGAAGCACTGGGATCTTGAGGAATGCTGAACTAAAAAGAAAAACAAACTAAATACAGTATATACATAAAAAAAACAGAATAACACACATCTAAATAATAAGTAGTATTAAAAATAATAAAAATGATCCAAGAAAAATAAACCAAATGTATATATTTAATAAATTAATCTAAAAAAAAAAGTTGTAAATCAAGCTTAGAGTTTAGACCCCCCATGGATATAGCATGTCCAAACAATGGATCCACCATACCTCTCGACTTTTTCCCCCCCTTCCCAATCCTGCTGTAGGGGCTTACCTTAAATGATGTCTCTTAATCCGATCTTCTTCTTTCCTGTAGTTTTTAGCTGTCCCTCCAGCGCTGGTGCAGGTCTCCAATCCAGTGCTGACTCCTCTGTCCTCCTTTTCACTCATGTTCCACGGAGTCCGTGCGGGTGCACACTGCTCCATATACTTACCTTGTGTCTCTCCTCGTCTCCCAGCTGAACATCTGAACTGCGCATGCGCCCGCCCCAAGATCCTTTGCGGACGCCCGGGAAATTTTCAGATGTTCGGACAGGACTGCGCGATGGAGACACAGGTAAGTATTTACCCTTTGAAAACGTTTTTTTTTTATCGCTTTGCATATATCTGCTGTCTGCCAGCAGTAGATATACGCGAAAGCATGCAAGGGTTTAATAACCCTTTAAGCATAAGTTCTCGGTTACCACCCCTCCTGTCTTTTGGAACACTATCAATTATCATAATTGTTAATTGAGAAACAGAATTAACATATTGTAAGAAGTGTGTTGGGAACAGGTAACTGAACAAGTTTGTCCTGAATGGAATATTTGTGCCTTGCTTTCCTTCACCCTTCATGTCATTTCTCAAACAAAATAAAACCACAAGGACAATTAAAAATTTAAATTAAATAGGATGATTGACAGGTATAGAATCCCTGTATCCTGATAATAAAGTCTCTATGTGGATTATTAAAAGAGGGATCTTGTACCATCCTTATACTGTATGTTGAATATAATTTGTACTTGGATAGGACCCAGTGTTCTGGGTTCCTAAGAAAGTAACAGTAGGTGATGGTGCAACATACTGATCAGCTCCAACAAGTTTATTCTGAATAGTAACACCCCTCCTATATGATGGTAAATGAGAAGAGGCACATACAGGAACATTGAAATAATGAATACTTAAAATGCACCAATGTTCTTAATAACACCATAGACCTTGTGTGAAAAAAGATTATACTTGGACAGGGACTGTTCCTGCCAGTAGCTACTCAAGTTCCTGACTGCAATGGTGTTAACTTCTTATTTTCTAACCATCAGGTGCCCCCCATACAAGCCTTTCGCAGAAAACAGACAGCAATAGGCTGGTGACATTGTGCTGTTATATAATCAATAAAGTGGCAGTAAACTGGTCCATTATAATGTAACACTGAGCTGATCTTCTGCTATGTCTAACTTTAGAATAATTGATCAGGAAGGGTCATTTTTTATGTTTAAAAGAAATGTATTTTTAACCAGCACGTTAAAATTGGTAATATATCAGCCAATCAGTTCTGTACTTATATGATGCCCAATTTGATGGCAACTGACTGTATTTGGCAGGCTTGATCTCATTTCTGCAGGTCTGTACAGTGATCTGATGTAGATCCAAGTGATATTTTCTTGTTTATAGATTTCCTTTAAAGCCGAGAAAGCTATACATAAACAATGAGCCTGATTTTATAATGTTTATGTGCAGATAACCAAATCATACCCTCACAAAACATATTATGCATCTGTGATGTGTACAGATATGCCTGCACGGTCTACAGTGTACATGTGGTGAATTTACTGAGAAGTGTGCTTTACTATGGATTGTATGCTCCAGTATCCAAACGTACACCTAAATTAAAGTACCCTAACTATTAACAAAAATTTAGATTATTTGTGTATCACTCAGCTGTAGATCCTCAAATCATCTCTGAATTGGTGCTGACACTGTCCTTCCTTCTGGAGAGTGGCTACTTTTATTCGCCATATTCCCTGTGTGTGTTGTAAAGTAGCCACCACTCCAAGCTCACTCCTGCGATGGACTACAATCTCACATTTAGTGTACTAATTTGTATTGAGATTGTAGTCCAGCAAAGGAGTGAGCTTGGAGCGGTGACTACTTTACAACACACAGGGACATTGGGGAACAAAAGTAGCCACCCTCCAGAAGGAAGGGATGATTTGAGAATCTACAGCTGAATGGTGCACAAATAAGATCCAGTACTGTTAACAGTTAAGGTACTTTTAAGATTTAACTACTGAGTTAAGTGTCACTTTAAAATTTGATATTTTTTTTGGGGGGGGGGGGGGGGGGCTCCTT